AAGAAGACCTACTGTTATAAATTTTAAAATATGCACTAAAGTTACTGACTTCTCCAAAGCAACACAGCATATTTTAAGTATAAATATATTTAAATCATACACAGGGATGTTAGATTTAAACTAATCTTTAATTACCTAATAAGCTATTGGAAAATGATTCTGTCTAAAGGGAGCAAAAAACAAAAAAGAAAGCTAAGATGCGAGACACAGAACAATGAGATCCTTCTTTCCCCCTTTTACGTCAGTGCTTATGAATAATATTTTACATTGAGAATAATTATCACTTGATTATGTTCTCTTAGCTCCAGCAGCAATCCTACTGATGGTAATTGCTGGTGTTTATTGAACAATTCATATATGTCAGGCATCAGAGTAAGAGTTTTACATGAATTATCTCATTTTACTCTTCAAACACCTCTTAGTTCATCCACATTTTATAGCAGAGAGTAGGTGACAAAATCAGGGGATTACAGTTTGAGCCATTCCTCTAAATGTCCTCATTGGGGTAACTTTAAGTTATATTAGTAACTTAAAATTGGTGCACACAATTAAAAGACAATAAATGATACTTTGGGTCTTAATCGTGTGTGTTGACAGAGATCTAGGTTAGGATGGGGCTATTAATAGTAATGTATGACCTTGAAAAATTATGTAAGCAGCAGGAGGCTCAAGGTAGCTTTAAAGCTCCTGTATGATAAATGCTTTGCAATGTGTACATTTAGCTGATGAGAATATGTTTAGTTTGCTAGAAAATAATTGTGGGTCACCTTTAAAAAGTCTAAAACACAGATGTCAGATTATATCTGTTATAAGCTGTCAAAAATGCTTTCTATCAACTTACATTGTCCAGAGATTGTTGCAAATCCACATAATCTTACAGAATGTTACTGTTTACATTAGGGTTTTTGCAACAGCATATGTATGAAGAAAGATGCATACAGTCTTGAAGCTCCCTACTGGTCACATCAGAACTTTCAGCAGGGAGGGATTATGAATGCTTTAGATTTTTGACATGAATTCATGAATTCAGTACAGTCATTTTCACGTGAAAGTATTTACCTAAGTACTGTATTGCACTGATTATTCCCCAAATTTTTGGAGCTCTATCTGTTCTTCCCTACTTCAGCCACTTTAAAAGAAAAAAAAGAAAATAAGCTACTTGAGAAAAGAAGAGGCTTCCAAGACCCCGCAGTTAATACACAAAGAGCTATTCAGCACTGCATAAATATGGAGGAAGGACAAGTGAGAAATTCAAATGAGAAGATGACAATCAGAGCCTAAGTGTGGGACAGTAAACCAAGCAGGGACAGTTCAGATTGGTCATGAGTCCAAGGTTTGGGGACTGGGGTTGAGGGGGTGCAGAGGGAGGAAGCAAGGGGTGGTAATATTCTGAAATTAGATTTGGTGACAATATACAACTCTGTAAATACACTAAACAGCCACTGAGCTGCACACTTAAAATGGATAAATGTTATGGTATGCAAGTTAAATCTCAATAAAGATAAATGAAGAACAGGATTGACTTTTAAAAAGCCCAGAAACTATAGAAAGGACAAGTGAAAATGACAATGTCAGTCATTCCAATAATACATTTATTCTAAAATCTGTTTCAATATATTTCAAGATAACCTCTAAAGGATGAGGCGTTAGAATATTCAGAATGTTCTTCCAAAAGAGAGCCTATTGTAGTGAGTGGACTAAGAGCACCCCTTTAAGTGATCCTTTCCATTTTAGTGTTATAGGATCTATTGATTTGCACTAGTATGCTGAGAACTCAGTCTTAAAACAAAATCAGAGACAATTCTGATGAGATATTATAAATGAAGACACCAAGAGGAGACATACCAAATGGCTTATATAACTGTAAGGAGAGTTGGATTTCAGTTATATCTACTGGAATCAGTTATGTCTGTTTGGATCTCCTTGGGTAATGTTAAACACAATACTTACTACCAGAGCCTCCTAATAAAGATTCTCCAACATGGCCTTCTAGGAAGCTGAATCCTAGCCCCAAGCTCCCTGCAAGGACTTCTGACTTTCTGACTGTTCACAGTGGTCCCCTTTTCTAAATTAAGTAAGGATACTCCACAGAGCTAGCAGCGACACTGCAAAATGTTAAAAAAAAAAAAAAAAAAAAAAAAGGGTCCTCCCTGGTGGCACAAGGGGTTAAAGTGCTGAACTATGAAGCTATGAACTCCAAGTAAAAGCTCAAAATCTCGTATGCGTTCTCCTGAAAAAAAAAAAAAAAAAAAACAGAACTCTAAAGCATGACAAGTCTACAATACATAAGTAGGGCATTATCCCAAGTTTAAAATGTCTGGCAAAAATGAGAGTTCCTATAAGTTACACTTCACCTTTTTCTATTTAAGAATCCCCTTTATTAATAGTTATAAATTAGCAATGATCAGTCAACAGAAGGGATCTTAAACTTCAGAGACAGCTTAATTTTCAAAACTTGTTTAGCCTCATTGTTGATATCCCAGACAACTATTACCAAATTGTCAATTAATTTACCTTGAGATATCTGACTTCAGTACATTAGAAAGGAAAAAGCCAGTTTGGAGTTAATTACTACACCCTATGAAACTATTTTTAATATTGACATTAAATATTGTCAGCAACCCAAAACAAATATTATTTCTTTTACCTTTAATTAAACTTGATTTTCAAATTAATATTAATTTTTATATGTCGACTAAATAAATACTCTGGCCAGGGGCAGACTAGCAGAGAGATAAATTTCAAGTATACTTTAAATAAACAAAAGTGACTGAAAACACTATCAGAGCCGACAACAGTTTAGGTAAGAAAGAATTAACTGTCTGTCTCTAGCAGTAATTGTCTTGTCTTCAGTTCTCACTGATGAAAGAATGTACTGAAGTAGCTTAAAAACTTTAAGTAGACATCTAAGACATGATTTTTCTTTATTTCCCCTCTAGTACAAATTTGACAAATTATATCAGAGAAATGGTATAAGCCAGCTCTTCTAGTATACCACCAGCAGTTATAGGATATCTCCCTGTACACTATGCACTTTTGCAACTACAGAACGTTCCTTTTGGCTTAAGCCATTTTTTTTTTTTTTAAGATTTATTTATTCATACAGAACTGGGGTACAGGCCAGAGATGCGGAGGGTGAGAGGATTCACCAGAGACAGAGTGGGGAGCAGAACAGGCAGATCAATGAAGTACACTGCTGAGGGGAGCAGCGGGCGGGTCAGGAGAGGTCTGCCTCGCCATGTGGATCTCCTCCAGGGCAGGCGGGAATCGAACTCAGGCGGAAATGGCTTAAGCTTCTTAGTGCTGTGCTTTAGCCCGCTGCGCCACCAGGGAGGGCCCTGGCTTAAGCCATTTTTAGTTGAGTTTTTGATCTTTTGCAATATTAAAGAGTCCTAAGTGATTCAAGTTCATGCCTAATGAAATACTTTCACAGAAATTAGTCTTTGTCATATTATACTTCCACAATAATCACATTTGATAGACAAATTATTCACCATTTTCTCCATCTAACTCATCAGAAATTAAGGTTTGAGGGGCTATGAATCTGGTTTGACAGACCCAGTAAAAAATAAAGATGTAGAGTCACCTGTTCAAAATTATTAGTAACTTCACAATGTTGACAGCAGAGCATTAAAATAGGTACAGATTTTTTTTAAAAGATTGGGTTTGTGTAACCACCCAGGTCAGACACGTGTGAAGGTGGTCCTAGACCTCTGTCTGTCATTCATCTGGTAAGTGGCAGAGATGGAATGTGAACTCAAATCTACATGTCCATAACTCTTATACTTTGTCTCACTTCTTCCCTGTGCAATAAAATATCTGTAAATGCATTATTTAAGCTATATGGAATTTTTTCACTTAAATTATTAATGATACATACATTTTTTGGTTTTGATCAACTTCAAGAAAATATGCACACTAGTTTCACTTGAAGAGTCCTATGTTGCAACAATTACATATGAAATCACAAGTATACTCAATCTTAATTTCTTAGTTACATGGTTTTCTTTAGGTAAAATTAAATCTTATCATAAATTGATTGAGCTACCTATAATGCATATTTTTCACTTTTCAGAACAAATCAGAAAAAGAAAACAAATACTACTTTCATGTATTAGATTTTTTTATCACTTTATCTGGCATAACTCTACTACTACCACCACATATATAACTAGTTGCCTTATTCTTCTTAAACCTTTGTGAACTAAATATCCTAAGGAAGTTTATAAAAAAACCTACATTTATCATCCACTACAAACATTTCAGAAACAGCCCAATAGTTTTTCTTTATCAAAATACAGACCAGAATATAGTTGTTATGGCACAATTGCTATTTTACAAGGTCTCAATCTAATGAATTTTATTATTTGCATATTCACATTAAAATTATGATATACCAGGATAGTATTTTCTGATTATGATAATGGAGTAATGATTTTTTTTTTTAATCTAAGATAACATTTAGAAGTTGCCTCTTGCTTTTTAGGTAACATCTAGTACTACTGCTCAATTTTTGATGATTTAAAGAACACAGAAAATTCACCAAATAATCAGCTGAACAATGCCTCAGATTTAATCCAGCCAAGCAACTGAATAGTTTATCATGATTTACAAACTAGAAGTAGAGACTTATTAGAAACATTGTTGAGACTTAATAGAAACATTGTTTTCAACATTTCTATTTACCTGTTGACTGACTGAGGCTATTTAATTTTCATTTATGTTTGAAATGTTAGAAGCTGAGATGAAATAACAGTCCAGCATAATGGTTTTCTAGGAATGTGAAAACATGTTCCAAGTAGGAAAATCAATACATGATGAACTTTAAAGTTTATTTTCTAAAATATTTTAAAATTATACATTTTGCTTATAAACAATGACCAAAAATAAATAAATAAATAAATAAAAGTACAGCACCCAAGGGGAAAGGTAAGATCTGCCTTGGCACTGAAATGCGAGCATTTCAACCACATATTACCCACGCTGTACAGCACAATTACCTTCTCTGACACTTTCTCGTGCTGGTATTGATACTGAGAAAGGGCTTTGCGGGATGCAGCAGTTTTGTCCTCAAATTGTCTCTTTACTGTAGCCAAACCGCCAGGCACTGTGCAGGTCTCTGATTCCATCATCTAAGACAATTTAAGGAAAAGGAAAATTTAGTTTCACATCTACTCTGGATGGGGTTCTCAATAGATTTTAAAAAAATATTTGATTTTTATCGATTGTTGGTATGTTAGAAAGATATTAACATGCACAATCATTTCAGTAGAACTTTAGAGAAAGCCACAATAACTCCTCCATGTTATTTTCTCACTTGTCATTCTTTGGATATAAACTCAGAAGGGTCTTCAAAATACTAAGTTAATTCTCTTTATTTCAGATAGATTTTGTTATCTGGAGACTACACCTATTAGAATATATTACTCTCATACTTCAAAGATTAGGGGAAATAGAGTAATGGATTCAATTTTAACCCATAATAAGGTTGCCACTAAAATCCCAAATCTCTATATAGGCAACACATTATTAAGAATATTAAAAACATTTGACTCATTGCATTATATATTTAAATCATTAAGAATGAACAAAATAACCTCAGAGTATGTCACATAAAAAAAATACTAGTATCAGAGGTAGTAACAGTTAGTTAATACATAGTGTTGGATGAATTATTCTGTTTACGAATATTTTCCAATTGTTGATGTTTTTTCATCTTCTGTGAGATATGGGCATATCCTCATTTTGAAATGAGGAAACTGATGTCTGGGAGATGTGAGGCCAATGTTAAATCCTCATAACTAGGGTTATGAGTATGGATCTGGCGTTTGAACAAGATTTCCGTTTAAATCAAAGTGTCTGTGTTAATCACTAGCCTTCAAGAACAAGCATAAAAACAGCAGATATGATACTCTAGGACTAACACTCAGCTTTCAGAATTGGTGCGTGAGATTCAGAGAAAAGGGGCATTTAAGGTGAGCAGAATTTTAGTCCATCACTGGCATTTTACAGATGAGAAAGACTATTTCAATAAGTACCATTTGGAGACACTTGAAAAATACTGAGGAGTCTTATCAGATCTTATGCTCCTGTGGGAAGTACAATAATTCAAGGGCTTTGGTTTTGATGATTCAGCACCCTCTGGGCCCAGCAGGCACTCAAACCCAAATGGGCTGACAACACTCAAGCAAACAGGCTCAAGCCAACCTGCCCTCCTCCAGGCCCCTTAATATCAGGAAGAAAACCAGCAACGCTTCAAACCACAGGAGGTCTCCTGACTTCTGACCCAGTCCTGACATTACCCAGAAGCCTTGAATCTTAAAGGTAACTAAAGACTAATGAGCTGAAAGTTCCATATCAAGGACTGCACACTTGGAGTGCCAGACTATTTACTCCTAATATATCATCTAAAACTGATTATTATTATTTTTAAAAAGCTTTATTTATTTATGCATACAGAACTGGGGAATAGGCCAGAGGTGCAGGGGCGGTAAGAGGATTCACCAGAGCCAGAATAGGGAGCAGAACCGGCAGATCGACAAAGTACACTGCTGAGGGGAACAGTGGGCGAGACAGAAGAGGTCTGCCACACCATGTGGGTCACCTCTGGGATGGGGATCGAACTCGCAAAAAAGTGACTGCAACCAGCTATGCAGTGTGGTGCTTTAACCCACTATGCCACCAGGAAGGGCTCTCTAACTGATTTTACCACAATAATTATTTTGGGGTTCCCCATTCTCAAAAATATTATAGACTAAATTCAAATGCAGGTTGTCTGAATTATTAGTAAAAACTCAACTGGCTCATGAAGTTCATCACCTTTTCCCAAGAACATGAGCTATCAATATTTAAGGACATCCACATTGGCTTTATGGGAAGAAGAGATAATAATGTACACTGTACACACTAGATATATATTATATAAACTTCTGCACAAACTTCAAATGTGAATCTTGATTACTTACATTCATATAATATATGATAAGGTTGTAGGAAAGAACAACATCTCTTGAAATTTAAAATAAAGAAGGGTGAATTAAGTCCATATTATTTCTTTTACCTCCCTCTTCTATTTAATTTACACAAATTACCTTCTTAGATTGATCACACAGAGAGAATATAGGTAAATACTATGTCACAGTGATTAAGATAACTTGTTAAGAACCTTCCTCGTTCTAACAACTATAAAACAATGTCTGAATCATGTGCAAATTAATCTGATAAATGTCCTCAGTAATTACAGTAATGACTGAATGCTTTCCTGGTAAGTTCATTGAACAAGTTGCTCCTCATCTACCAAATACACTAACACCACAGGTTCACACGCATTGCTTTCCGTTAGCACTGTTATTTGGAATCAGACCACACTCAGAAATGCCTACAGTTAATTATTTTTACCAATAGCACTACCACCATTCTAGTCCCTCGTGCTAGCTACTCTATACTTCTGCTGACTCATCTAATGAGCAAGCCCTTTGAGTTATAGTTATAAGGGGCTGATCAGGGTTCCTCGTTCAATTCAGCTTGTAAATTAAGTTGTGCATATGTGAGATACAGGACATGATTGAACAGTATTGCTGGCCATGACCTGGAGTGATACTTGCTTTCCCAGATGAAAACTCCTTCACTTTGCCTCCTTAGCACCAACTCCCACCATTCCCAAATAATGCACTTTATTGTAAGTGACTATCTAACTAAGATTACTTTGTGTTGAAACTTTTCTTTCTTCAATTTTTTTAAAGATTTATTTATGTGTGCATACAGAGCTGGGGTACAGTCCAGAAGCCTAGGGTGGTGAGAGGTTTCACCATAAACAGCGTGGGGAGCAAAACAGGCAGATGGACGAAGTACACTGCTGAGGGGAGCAGCGGGCGGGTCAGGAGAGGTCTGCCACGCCATGTGGTCACCTGCAGGGCAGGCGGGGATCGAACTCATGCTGCAGTGGCTTTAGTTTCTCAGTGCTGTGCTTTAACCCACTGCACCACCAGGGAGGGCCTGTGTTGAAACTTTTAATAGTTATCCTTTTGTTCTATGTTTCTTATTCTTGGACTTAGAAATAAGATTTCAATTAGAATGGGTATGTCAATAATAACTAGTTTATTAACAAGTTAAATACCTATCACAGAACCTCACCAGTACTATTTTAACAAGTTACTTTAAATATCTAGCATTTTTGGGCCCTCCCTTGTGGTGCAAGGGGTTAAGAGGCAGCACTATGAAGCTCTTTGAAGCCACTACAGCTTTAGTTCAATCCTCAGCCAGGGAGGTGACCCACATGGCACAGCAGACCTCTCCTGTCTCACCTACTGCTCCCCCCAGCAGTGTATTTCAGTAGATCTGTCTGTTCTGCTCCCCATTCTGTCTTTGGTGGATCCTCTAACTCCCCACCCCATCTCTGGCCTGCATTCCAGCTCCTGTATGCATAAATACATTTTGAAAAAAAAAATAAAACTAGCATTTTGATGCTTAAACCCAGGTAAAGATATCATATAATCATCAATTTCCTTTATGAACAATTATTTATATGTTCTAAGAAGTAACACAATTTATACACAATTGCCAAGTCATAGAACCAATCTGCCTAACAGACGAGTAGATATAATAAAATGTGGTGTATATATTGAATGGAATACTATTTAGCTATTAAAAAGATGAAAGAATGCCTTTTGGGACAAAAATGGATGGTCCTTGAGGTGAAGTAAGTCCTGACAAGGCACAGCAAAAGCAGTTCTTAGACTGTGGAAAATAAACTGGTTACCAGACTGAACAGGGATGTTGGACAGGGGGGCAGTGGAGAGGAGAGAGGGAGGAGAGTATAGGGAAGGAAGGGGAAAAGGCATTGCTACAAGAAGTTTGCTGAAGGGTGAGTGAAGCATGTGCACATATGGAGGAGTAGTAACATAACCCCAATGCTATATATTATATAAATGACTGACAAATCAAATAAAAACCTCAAACATATACAATATTGTATCTTGCATTGGATTATGACATAGATTAAAAAAAAAAAAAGTAGGTCTCAGTTCTGATCTTAAAACTTTGGACCAGAGTTTCCAAACCTCAGATTTATTTCTGACAAACTGGAATAACAATAGATTTCTCACAAATGTGAACATGGTAAAGGAAATACAACTAAGAAGCATAGACACTGGCATTTAAATTTGCTTTTAATGAAAGTTACTTCCCTCTTTTCTCCTAGGTGTCTCCTTGGGGCCTTCTGCAAATGGCATCCTTTTCATGGTCATGCCTTTCCTTAGGTTCAACAGAATGTTCTCTGGCTTAAACTATGACAAATAAGAATCTGATTATTTCATCTATCCCAGTGTGACTGAATCAGTTTGGGGTTGAATCAGATCCAGTGGCTTTCAGAATTTTCACATAAAAGATTTGCTTTATTCTTGTAGAAAAATAAAGTGACAAGCATTTTTCATAATTTTACAAATTATTTGCAAAATTGTTGCATATGATGAGACTGATCAAATGAGGAAGTTATTTCACTTTTCTTTAGCTAACAACCAATATATCTGCTTTTTTTTTTGAGATAATATATCTGCTTTTTTTTTTTTAATCATGACATATACTTAGGATCAAATCATTTGGTAGGGCATTTGTTGGTCCAAAGGTGTTTTCTTTATGTGAGGAGTCAGCTGAATATAGTTAAAGGAGCACTGGAGTCAAACTAAGTAATCTAGCTTTGTCACTAGTCAATTGCATAATCTCCCATTAATCACTACCCTTAATATCTTTTTGTCTAAATGTACAGAAAAGTAAAGGATTATTAAATTCCATATATATATTATATGTGTGTATATTTGTGTAGAAAGAGAAAGAATGGAACAGGGAGAGACAGAAAGATACTCAGAGACAGAGACTATCTTAAGAATAGTAAAACTTAAAAAAGAATTGTATCAAATGCTGGGATAATTTTGTTTCCACATTTAAGTATACTCTTATAAATTTGAATCATGACATTATAAATTTGTTTTCTGGTATGTCCTCTACGGCTGGAAAGATACTAGTTTTCCTAAATAAAGTTATGTTTGCTAAACAACCACTCTTTAACTGGGTATTTTCAAAATCAACTAGTTTCCTTATGAATAATTTCTTCAGTTTAGAATATTAATTTATAGAAAAGTTCTTTAATAATCCAGCAGGGGGTGCTATTTAAGAAGCCAGGAAGCACTGGAGTGATAATTATTTGTTTTGTAGTGATCTATCTATGTCATTTCTGTGCAGTCATTTGAAATCTATGCTGCATTTAAAATGTGTTTTAATGACTATGTGAAACTTAAATGTCATCTAGAATTGCAATATTGTTAAAGAGTTTGGCACAGTCTTATCCTTAAATAATTTGTAAAAAAGAATGTGAAAAAGAGCTCTTTTAGAGTACCACCCATTTAGGTTATTCTTTCTCTTTTGGTTAAATAAACAACTTTGCTAATTTGGAGATAATAATTATAAAAGAATATCCCTACATTCCATTAAGCTATAAAGCTGCTACTAATAAAATGACTCATCAAATCCTGTGGATTGAAGGTCAAAGAATATGGAACCCAACAAATTTTATTGAATATGACTTTATTATACATTGGCTCTAAAAATTGGTGGTCTTACTTGAATCCTGCTGTTTCCTATAATCATAATTGGTTTAGCAGAGTGCCTACATTGCTAATCTCTCTCATTTCTATGTTGATTAAGCTACTCCTAATGGATTTAGTGCATACAGAGAAATGAGAAAAGCAAAAGAAATTATACTGCCAATGAATTCAAATGAACTACACATGAGACTGTGGAGGGCAGCATCAGATCCACATTATTAAAATTTGAAATTAATTCCCAACCTTCCCGAGGATAATAGCTATAGGTTAAATGATAATGACGGCAATAATAACATATTTATATAGTGCCTTATGGCTTATATGCAAATTATCTTTTTGACTCTTCACCAAGACCCTCTGTAGTAAATGGTGATTCCCATCTTTCGGCAAGGAAACTGAAATTCGGAAAGAGTGAAGGTAATAGTAGCTCAAGTTCACACGAGCTAGTAGTAAGTGGAGTTTGACTCACACTATTTCTTTGTGTGTGCTGTTTTACTTTACCTCACTGCCCATCAATATTATCTACAACAAAAGAGTGTATGAAAGACAACAAGCACACTGCTTAACGCAAAACACCAGGAGCAGCTTACATTGGCAGAGAAACTGCGGCAGTCACCCCTGGAAACAGCTGCCTGATACCTCGCCATCCTCTCCTTCAAGGACACCACCTCCTGGAGGTCAGACGCACCCTCGCGGTCCTCTGCAAATTCACTTGCAGGTTTCTGAGGGCCAACAGTCACTGAAAACAAACATAGTATGCCCAGAAATGTGTCAGGTATCGAAGAGGAACTACCATCATTTTATGACCAGTAAAGGCATTTACAATATCCTTTGTTGTACAAACAGACTGCAACATTTCACAATATTTTCCATGTTTCGTATTCATCCTCTTTTCTTCAAGCTTTTAATCAGAGTTTCAAAATGCCTGTATAAGAGCATATGTAGATGTAAAAATATTGTCTCCTTCTACTCCTACAATTATTCTGATGAGAAATAGTTATATTGTAAGAGACATATAAATGTTAATACTGAACAATCCTGAAGTACTATGCATTGAATTTGTTAATCATTCTATGATAATTATTTCATTTCTACCCTTATTTACCACTTCATGAAGTAGGTGCTATTACTTCCTAAAATTTATAGATAAGAAAACAATGATATTGGCTTAATTTTCCCCCCATGGTCACAAGATTAATAAGTGCCAGGTCTGAATGTGATTTTACTAAATTGTTAGCAATTTAGTCAAAATCTTTCTTTGCTTTTCTCCCCAACCTTCAACCCTTAAGGAGACAAACCTTGTTAAATCCATTTGGAAATGAATTTAGAATACTTTTTTTTTTCTTTTGTTCATAGAGCATATATCACACCAGAAAGAAGTGATACTGCCTTTGGAAAAAAAAAAATCTCGTCAATCATTTATTTCAGAGAGACTGATATTTTTCCTATGTTAGTCATCTACCCAACAATTAAGGTTTCAGGGGTTCATGGGTAATAGAAGTAATATACTTGGAAACAGAAAAAGGCTGATAGCAAGATCACAGAATAACTTCTGTTAGAAATGGAAAGGTCTTAAAGATCATAAGTCTCACTAGTCTAACCAGCTTCTTTAGGCAGAAGGAAACATTTAGTGATGTTTCCCTTCCAGGGAAAGGATATATGGCTTCTCTACTGTTATGTAGTTGTATGTGTCAGAGTTCGCCTCAAACTAGTTTTCCTTATTTAACCTAGTGTTTTTTTTTCCCTGTTATTAATCTGCTTAATGGCATTGTAATTCGAAAATCAAAGGTGTCCCCTTAAGAAAAATCAGTGGATGGTAGGGGTGTCTACATATGTATGTGTGTGTGTGTGTGTTTATGTATACTCATAACTCACTCATACTTCTGCTGCTTTTCACTATAGGACTGGTTGTTTCTGGGTAGTTTCAAAGTACATCAAAGTTATTTCTGGTGTACTTTGTTAATTTGGACTGGCTCGATTTAATCACTATGTTGCAAGTCACAAACAACTTTAGGTAACAGGTAGCCAAGCTGATCTTTCTCTTCCCTGTTACTCCTGTTTCTTTCTCCAGACCGTACATGGAACCATTTCACTGAATTGTTTGCCTTTTCTATCAGCTTTTCAAGGTTTAGCATATAATAACAGTTGAGAACAACTTCTATAATCTAGAAAAAAGTAACATTATTTCTGTTGAGTATATCTTGTTTTCATAGGGACTTCCTATTTACGAAACATTTCTATGTACTTAAAATTGTAAATATATTTTATTTTACATGCTGTCAGAAACAAACAAAAACAAAGCAATACATATTTGTATCATAAGAATGTTACGATTGTACATTACAGTATTCAAGTTGTCAAATATTTTAAATTTCATATCCCTGCTATTCAAACTTCATATCCTTATGAAAGTATATTCCTCCAGGTGAATCTGATTTAGTCCCACAAATCCCTGAAAATCTTTCACATGTCTGATGGAAATATATTTTCACTTTCCCCATTTGATTATCTATCTACATTGATGAATTTATTTTATATTCAGTTCTACTGTTCTTACTTTGTTGCTAATGATCACAACAGAGGTTTTACTGAACAGAACCTCCCTAATGTTTTCCACATTAAAATATAAATTTCATTTTGTGTGTTATTCCTGAAGGATATCTTTCTTTTTTTTCTTAAAGATTTATTTATTTATTCATAGAGAACTGGGGTACAGGCCAGAGATGTGGAGAGTGAGAGGATTCACCAGAGACAGAGTGGGGAGCAGAACAGGCAGATCAATGAAGTACACTGTTGAGGGGAGCAGTGGGTGGGTCAGGAGAGGTCTGCCACGCCATGTGGTCACCTCCGGGGTAGACGGGAATTGAACTCATGCGGAAGTAGTTTTAGCTTCTTAGTGTAGTGCTTTACCCCGCTGTGCCACCAGGGAGGGCCGGAAGAATATCTTTCTTTCATTAATTGTAGCAGAAAGTGAGCAGTGTATTTTTGCTTAACCATGCATATATTTACTTTCCAAATATTTGCCTTTACTTATTTTTTCATCCCTTTGGGAAATGACCAAGATTGATAGTCAAGAAATCAGTTGCTTGAGTGTTAAAACTTTGGATATTATTATTGCCTTGTGGCTTTTTATTCTGAACTCAAGACCACTACATTTTAATCTTTCCTTTTTTTAATTTTTTAACATCATTATTTTAATGTTTCTTTCATTTTCTCTCTCCCTCTTTTCCTCTACCATAAATTTGCCTGCTCAAGTAAGGCTGTGGGATAAAAACAACAAAACAAAACAAAAAGAAAAAAAAAACATACCTTTAGCTAAGAATTTGTGTCTATAATTTGTGTCTATATTGTTTCTTAACCTCTTATTGACTAAATTCTTCATCTGAAAAATAAGGTGATGCTTCCTGCCCTGTCTACTAAACAGATCTACACCTAACTCAGTGTTGTATGCCTATGAAAATATTTAGTGTTGGTAAAATACCTTCCCTTCAGGATGTGTGGGGTAGGAGAGAGAAAAACTGGTCACAAGATGTCATAAAATGCTATGTCAGAAAATTTGATGCAACTGAGATCAGAAAACAGTGTGAAGTGAGCTTAGGATGCTTTTAAAGAAAACAGGTGACACAGAAAACCAAACTAAGATACCACTGTCATAAAATATCTGTAGGAACATGGGGGAATCCTGGTGGAATCTATAAGCATGAAGTTAGACAGAGGAGGAACATGCTATATATAAACCTAAAGTGATCTGTGAAAAAGAGAAGTGAGAAAGTAAAAGTTTCTATTACTGAAACTATTACTATAATTATTAATGTCACAAATCATTGTAGCAGAAATCACTTTCTCTGGGACTCAAAGGTAATTGATTTTGCAGATGAATAAACAAAACTTCAATGAATTTTCCCAAGTCTCCAGAATTAATGTTATAGTTAGAACTGGAATCCATTATACCCTAAGTATAGCATTAAACTATACCATTACATGCTAAGTATCAGATTTCCTTCCTTGGCTGATAATAAAATAAATGATAATCCATTCATAATGCTAATTCTTTGGGTAGTAGAATAAATTCTGTAAAACAGTAAGAACACAGGGGGAAGCACTTTGACAGACAAAAAAAAACATTAAAAAATAGTTATAATTACTATTAGATACCAAGGATAATGCAGTCTTTTATAAAAATTCTGAGGTTAGATAAAAATAGTCATACTATAATTTTTAATTTAAAAATTTATATGCTATTTATTTTCCTGAATCATGAGAGACTGTGGCTAAAGATCTGTTTTCTTGAACTCTAAACATGTTTTATTTTTTTTTCAATTGTTAAAAACTATGTGACTAAATCAATCAATTGATCACATTTGTACAGGTTACAAAATGCATTATATCTTCTTGAATTTTATTTTCTATGGAACATCCATGCTTAATTTAAGATATTTTAAAAAATAAAGAACATCACATCATATAAATAATCCTCTTATGTTGACCAACATGTCACATGCATATGGCCAATCAGAATAAATGCTATACTTATTCTTCTACTTATCCTCAGAATTGATAAAAATAGTTTTAAGGTGTCAAATATAGAAAACAATGAGGGATAGTTAAAGCAATCAACACATTCTAGAATTTTTTCTAATTTTACAATTTTTATTATCAGTGAAAGAATTCTTAGATTCATGCACAGAAAAAATATCACAATACATTCAAAAGGGTTACTACTACATTGCTATAAATTGTTCTAAGTAGCTCTTTGGTAAATTTTCAATATGAAATTCAGTGGTTTAAGAAAGTATGTTCTTAGAACATTAAGAAATGACAAAAATTATCATTTTTTCCCATGAAACAAATAATTGGCAAAAAATATTAAAATAGCAAGATATAGATATGAACCTAAAATCTTTATAGTATAATGATTTGGAAATAAGATCAATGACTAACAATAGTAGGATCATTGTGTTGTTCAAAAATTCTGTCAAAGTCAAGAAATGTTTTTTTGATATCTAATGTGGCTGGGGTATATAAGGCAAAGTGCTTTGTGATAATAATATTTATAAAGCAAAATTTAATCTCAGCACATTTTTTAATTTAAATATATCTATTTACTTTGGCATATACCCAAACGGTAGGTTTATGCCAAACTTTGTGGGCAAATTTTTTTTGACATTTATTTTATATCATTCTTCCTATTGTGCATTTTTTCATCTCAGTGGTAATGCCCATGGGCTTCCCACCACCAATTCACTCCATGTGACATTACCACAGTCCAATGCACTTTTCCCACCCTAAATTTTATGGAAAGGATGACCATTTAATAGTACAATGGGTGTTATGGGAAGATATATACCAAACACCGGCTTTCCTCAAGTGAGTTGGAAAACACTAAGAGAGAACATAATCCACATAATAGTCACCAAGAAAGGCAGTCAGGAAGTGGATCTCAATGCTGAAACATGGAAGAGAGGCCATTGCATATTTGAAAGGGAAAAAGAAGCAGAAAGGCAAAGAAACAGTGGCAAAATCACTAAGTTCTATTGGGAAAACTGGGTAATAACTTTGAGGGAAACATGATTTCCTCACTTGGCCACATATGTCAAATGGGGTGTTAGATAGACTAAGGATTGTTTTTTTACTGATAAAAGATCTTTGGTGAAATAAATATAATTTATAAAATTATTTCAGTTGGACATTCTAAGTACAAAAAATTCAAATTAAAAAACCTTTTACACAAAATTTATA